TTACCTGAATTCAATCTTGCAAAGCCAAAAAATAATCTAAATATTTTCCTTGTATTAGTTGAACTGTATTCATGTCTAGAATTCCCTTTTTAAGAATCAGGTACTTGGTTAATTTTGCTACTTTCGTAATGTCTTGTTTTGTTTCAAACTTTCAGTGTGCAGTGCAGCTTGTGCTTCAGCCTTCATTTGCGGCCTGTAGTGAGGTATGTTTGGTTAGATACTTCGATTTTATTTACACTTGTAACTTGTTCGCATGAATTAGGCCACACTAGCCAATTTATACTCCATCGAATAATTTGAATTTGAAACTTTTCATATGATTTTTCAAAACATTCCTAATTTTAAGGGTATTTTTGTAAGTACCCAATTTTTTTTTGGTAATATGCTAAACGGCCCAAGACCTACCCAGTCCAATCCATAAAATTAAAAACACTGGCCAAGACCTACACAGCCCAAGTCGTCCTCTCAAGTCTCACCTCCACTTAAGACTATTCTCCTCCACTCCAGCCTTCGTTTCAATTCCCAGCCTCCGCCTCTGCTCTCCTCCACCTCCAGCTTCCATTTCAAAATTAAACGGTTTACTTTGTCGCGCCGACGACGACGAGTGGCGTTGTGCCGGGATTGTGATAAGAAAATGCGCGCTGTGACGCTGACGCCGCCAACAAGCTCGCAAGCAAGCACCAAGTGCGTGCACAGAAAAGTCAGGTATTTGATGAATTGATGTTTGAGCTGGGTATGCCGTATTTGATATTTTCTTTAGGATCTGCTTGAGTCTTGAGATTTTTTTTTTAATACTGCGGCCTGTGTTTGATTTAATACCGTATTTGATGTTTGAGCTTGTTAAAAAATCCGTGTCTTCCGTCTTCGTGAATCATACAAGATTGGTGTGTACTGTGGAGTCTGTAGAGAACAAACCTTATGGAATTGAAATTTGGGTATTGTTGAAAATTTGAAAAAGCGAGATAATGCATGTCGATGACTCAATGAAAGTGGCATCAACACGTTGTGATCAGAAGAATAATTTTCACAAGGAAGAAGGAATCAAAAGTCTATTTGCAAAAGATATAACAAAGAAGACATTTAGTAAAATGGAATTCACACCTGGAGTAGCCCAATATCCATGGCTATAATATCTAGGGTTTGTCCATAAGGAATTTCAATCTTCTTGTGGAAATATTTTGCTCCTTCTCCTTTCAACACTCTAGTAGTGTACCTAGACATTGGGATATACGAAAAGAAATTGGAAATTTTGATTTTAAATTATAACAAAAAATCAGCACCTACTACCATTGTGAAATGCCACACATTGAAATTTAAAACTATTCAAAGGGGAAGAGTACCATAGTATTTTTTGCAACTCAGGGTATCGCGTAGCCTATTACAGAAAGATGATTTAGTTTTACAAAAGCAGTTATTCTATGAAAACTAGCTTTAGTTAAGTTAAATATTAATTTTAGTTTTCTTCAATGAGTTCTAGTTCTAGTTTTCAATAAGGGAATGCAAGAGCTCTTAAGTTTGGAAAACGAGCTAGGAAGACAAGGACACCAACCTTCCCAGTAGTGAATATTGGTTTACTTTTTATCTTTAAAGCTATAGTAAAATCAGAGTTTTAAAAAATTTATAAATTGTGTAACTGTTGATAACCATTTCCCAAACAGCGAAAGAAGAAAACGGAAACCAATTTCGACCTAGATTTTT